GAAATTATTGAGTTTAAGGGACAAGAAGGAAATAAAGAAAAGTAAACAGATTCTAAGGGACTTGTGGAAACCATCAAACCTAACAACACACTCATGGAATTAATACATTTCCAGATAAACAAAAGCTAAAGGAGTTCACTACAACTAGACCTGTCCTGCTAGAAATGCTAAAGGAAGTCCTTCAGAATGAAACGAGAAGAAGCAAGTGACTAAATAAAGACCTCTGATAAATACACAGGCAATTAAAAGCTAATATTATTTTTTTTTAAAGATTTTATTTATTTATTTGACAGAGAGATAGAGAGACAGCACAAGTAGGCAGAGTGGCAGGCAGAGGGAGAGGGAGAAGCAGGCTTCCCGCTGAGCGGGGAGCCCGATGCGGGGCTCAATCCCAGGATCCTGGGATCATGACCTGAGCCGAAGGCAGCCGCTTAGCCGACTGAGCCACCCAGGCACCCCTAAAAGCTAATATTATTATTTTCATTTGTAACTCCACCTTTTGCTATATGTCACAAAGGCAAAAAGAATTATTATTAATCTACATAACTGGGCACACAATGTATTAAGTTGAAATCTGTTGTATGAATAACAAAAATGAGGGAGAAGGAGCTATACAAGAGCATAATTTTTGTGTACTATTTGACAAATTCAAATTAGACAATAAGAATCTCGAGATGTTAAATGTAATTTCCATGTTAAACACAAATTATCTATAGAATATACAAAAAAAGAAATAAGATAGGAAATCCAAACTACAAAAAATCAACTACAAACAACTACAAAAGGCCATAACAGAAATGACAGGCAAAAACACCGTAAGACATATAGAAAGGAACAGAAAAATGGCAGAAGTAAATCTTTGAGGAATTAATTTAAATATGAATGGCTTAGGGGTACCTGGGTCCCTCAGTCGGTTAGGCATCCAACTCGATGTCGGCTCAGGTCATGATCCCAGGGTTGTGAGATCAAGCCTCACGTCAGGTGATGTATTTAGCACAGATTCTCCTTGTCCCTCTCCCTCTGCTCCCCCCCCCCATGCACCCACTCTCTCTCTCTGAAAACAAAATCTAAACAAAAAATATGTATATAAATATACATACACATACATATATATACATATAAATGGCTTAAACTCTGCTATCAAAGACAGAGATTGGTAGAAAGGATTTTAAAAACATGATACAACTGTATGTAGTCTACAAGAGACACAATATATATCCAAAGACACAACAAACAGGATAAAAGTTAAAGGATTAGAAAAATATTCTGTGCAAATAATAAGCAAGAGAGAGCTGGGCTGACTATACTAAAATCAAGTAAGACAGACTTTAAATTTTTAAAAGGTTACTAGAAAAAAAGAGACTTACCCCATTACCCAACAATTCCACTTCTTGGTATATAACCAAAAGAATTAAAAGCAGGATTTCAGGGGTGCCTGGCTGGCTCAGTCAGAAAAGGATGCAACTCTCGATCTTGGGGTCATGAGTTCGAGCCCCACAGGAGGTGTAGAGATTATACATACATATACACATAAATAAGTAAATAAAAGAATTTCAAAGAGATACTTGCACACCTATATTCGTTGGACCATTATTCACAACCGTCAAAAGATGAAAGCAGAGTAAATGTCCACTGACAAATGACTGTGGCACATACATACAATGGAATATAATTCAACCTTACAAGAATGGAAATCCTGTCACATGCTACAATATGGGTGAACCACGAGGACATTATGCTGAATGAGGTAAGCCAGTCACAGTAGGACAAATACTATAGGATTCCACTAACATGAAATATATAGAGTAGTCAAAACAATACGAACAATAGAATGGTGGCCAGCAGCAGCTGTGAGTCAGAAGAATAGGGGAGTTGTTGTTGTTGTTCAATGACTTACTGGTTTTTTGTTTTCTTTTGTTTAATTTTTAAGTAAACTCTATGCCTAAAGTGGGGCTCAAACTCATAACCCCAAGATCAAGAGTTGCATGTTTTGCCAGCCAGATGCCCCTTTGTTATTCAATAAGTACAGTTTTGGAAGATTAAAAGGTTTTAGAGATCTGTTATACAATATGGATAGTCACTACTAGAACTTAAAAATGGTTCAGAGGGTAAAACTTATATGGTTTCCTTTTACAGTTATGTCTTTTTTTAAAAAGACTAACAAACAGTGATATAATTTATTAATAAAAGGTTCCATACAACAAGGAGATGTAACAATTATAAACATACTTTATAACTCAAAGCTAAAAGAACAGAAATAAAGATCAGAGCACAGACACAAAATACAGATTAGAAAAACAATTCAGAAAATTAAGTAAACCAATAGTTGGTTCTTCTAAAAGATTATCATTTAGCTAGCTTGAAAAAAAGGAGGAAGAAGACAAATAGCTAAAAAATCAGAAATGCAAGTGCAACATTACCACCAAACTTACAAATTAAAAAAAATTTAACAGAATGTGCAACATTCTGTTAACATTTGGTGTACAACAGTACACCAAAAATTAGATAACCTAGAAGACTGGGATGAATTCCTTGCAAACTACCTACACTGACTAAAGAAGGAATAGAAAAGGTCAACAGACCTATAAGAGATTGAATCGGTAATCAAAAACCTCTTAAAAAGTACTAAAATACATGGCTTAACTGGGGAATTCTAACAAACATTTAATAAAAAATTAACACAAATCCTTCTCAAATCCTCCCCAAAAACTGAACAGAAGGAAATACTTCTTAACTCATTCTATGAGGCCAAAGTCTTCATAAGAATAGAAAATTACTAAGCAGTATTTCATAAATGACAAAAAGTCCTCCAGAAACTATTAGCAAATCAAATCCAAGACCATACCGAAAGGATTATTCACTATGACCAAGTAAGATTTATCCCAGGAATTCAAGTGTGGTTCAAAAAGAGAATTAGTCTAACACATCATTATTAATCAATGGAAAAAAGCCACATGGTCATCTTAATTGACGCAGAAAAGCCATCTGACAAAATCCAACACCCTTTCATAATAAAAATTCTTGGAACACTATGAATAGAGGGTAAACTCCTTAACATGATAAAGGATATTTATGAAAACCCCACAGTTAACAGCATACTCAATGATAAATGACTGATTCTCCCCACAGGATCAGGAACAAGACAAGGATGCTCACATTTATCACTGCTATTCAACACTATACTGAAATCCTAGCCAGAGTTATTGGACTTTACCCCCCACAAAAAATTTAGTGCATCCAAATTAGAAAAGATGTAAAACTGTTCAAAAATGACACAATCTTATATACAGAAAAACCTATATATAAAAAGCTAGAACTAAAAATCAAACAGACAATGTAAGAGTACAGATCAACAAGCAAAATTCAGCTATGTTTTCATACGCAAGCAATTACTTATCTGACAAGGAATTTAAGATAGCAATTCCATTTACAATAGCACACAAAGAATAAAATACAACTGATCCTTGAACAACACAGAGGTTCGTGGCACTGATTCCCTGTGTGGTCAAAAAGCTGGGTATAACCCTGACTCCCAAAAACATAACTATCAAAAGCCTATTGCTGACCATAAGTCTAACCAAGAACATAAGCCAAAAACCTAAACCAGAATACCAGTAACATAAACAGTTAACACATATTTTTTATGTTATATATAATATATACTGTACTCTTACAATAAAGAAAATGTTAAGAAAATTGTAAGAGAAAATATACTCACAGTACTATACTGTACTTCCTAAAAAAAAAAAAAACCTACATGTTTGTGGACCTAGACAGTTCAAACCTGTGTTATTCAAGGATCAAGTGTACTCAAAAATGAATCTAACCAAAGAGGTGAGGGATGCCTGAGTGGCTCAGTCGGTTAAGCATCTGACTACGGCTCAGGTCAGGATCTCAGGGCCCTGGGATCGAGCCCTATGTGGGGCTCCATGCTCAGCAGGGTGTCTGCTTCTCTCCCTCTCCCTCTGTCCCTACCCCCGTTCGTTCTCTCTCCCAAATAAATAAATAAAATCTTAAAAAAAAAACAAAGAAGAGGTGAAATACTTGTATACTGAAAACTACAAAACACTGCTCAAGGAAATTAAGGTTTAAATAAATGGAAAAACATCCCATGTTCATGGATAGAAAGACTTAACATGGTTAATATGTTAATACTACCCCAAAGCGATCTACAGATTCAACACAATCCCTTCAAAATTCTAAGAGTCTTTTTGGTCAGAAATGGAAAAGCCAATCCTCAAATTCATAGGAAATTGCAAAGAGTTCTAAAAGCCAAAACAATCTTAAAAACAAAACAAAACAAAAAGAACCTGTGAAACCTACAAGAAAACAAGAGTAATTAGAACAGTATAGTATTAGCAGAAGGACAAATATACAGACCAATGGAGTAGAACACCCAGAAATAAACTTGCACATAAATGGTCAACTGATTTTCAACAACAGTGCCAAGACCATTCGATGGAGAAAGGACAGTCTCTTGAACAAAAGGTGCTGAGAAAACTGGATATTCACAAATTATTTACCTTACACCATACACAAAAATCCAGTCTAAATGGGTAAGAGACCTAAACTCATGAGATAAATACATAAAACTCTGCTAAGAAAACACTGGGGAGGGGCGCCTGGGTGGCTCAGTTGGTTAAGCGACTGCCTTCGGCTCAGGTCATGATCCTGGAGTCCCTGGATCGAGTCCCGCATCGGGCTCC